AAAGGTAAATATTAGTATCCAGTCTTTAAATGGTAAATTATGGAAACCATACACTCAAGCTGAACAAATCCACACAGCATGAAAACCTGAATTAATAACAGTATTACTGTTTTGTGTTTTCAGTTACCAAATAATTATCAGCAAAATGTATGTGCCCTCAGCTACAAATAAAAGCTCGTGCCACTAACAAAATTCCTAAGTTTTCTAGGTATTTAGATGCAGTCCAGTGGGGACCCAACCTGTCAAAACAATAAAAATATGGTATGGCATATAAACATCGCCAAATGAAAAGAACCCCAATTTGAAAATTAATAAAATTAACATTGGCTTCCAGCCTACTTTCCAAAATGTAAATAACCTTGTCAAATAAAACAGTTATAGCGTGTTATTTTTGTATAGGGATGTGGAGGTAAAGGGGAAATGTACTTCATTAAGTTATCAAGACTAAGTTTGGGGAGCTCACATTTTCAACGAGAAAGAAAAAAATAAATATATCCTGCATCACAGGACAGTTGAAGGAGAGCTAAGATATGGGCAGACCAAAACAGGGTGAGCAAAGATATGGGGAGGACAAGACAGGAGGATCCAAGATATGGGGAGGCAAGACAGGGGGAGCCAAGATAGGGAGAGGCCAAGACAGGGGGAGCCAAGATATTGGGAGGCCAAGACAGGTGGATCCAAGATATGGGGAGGCCAAGACAGTGGGAGCCAAGATATTGGGAGGCCAAGACAGGTGGATCCAAGATATGGGGAGGCCAAGACAGAGGTATCAAGATATTGGGAGGCCAAGACAGTGGGAGCCAAGATATTTTGAGGCCAAGACAGGGGGAGCCAAGATATGGGCAGGCCAAGACAGGAGGAGCAAAGATATGGGCAGACCAAGACAGGGTGTCAAGATATGGGCAGGCCAAGACAGTGGGAGCCAAGATATGGGGAGGCCAAGACAGGGGGAGCCAAGATATGGGGAGGCCAAGACAGGGGAAGCCAAGATATGGGAGGCCAAGACAGGGGTGTCAAGATATGGGGAGGGCAGGACGGGAGGGGGGGGGGATTTGACAGAAACGTGTGTTTTCCTAATGACTGGCCATGCATGAAACACTGGACGGACGTGACGACAAACTGCATTAACTGTCCGAAGTCTGCAGGCAGTCCCAATCCTAGATTGATGACAGGGGGATAGTTTCACAATCTATCATGATGTTCTTTGAACGGAGTAGCCTGTGGAGTTGATGTCTGCAATCTGTACATGTTCTAGGTGCCGATGACGTCATCTACAGCCTCCACAAGTGCCACATTGCCACCACCATCTTCCACAGTCACGTGCACCACCGCCGCCACTGCTCACCCATCCACATCCCAGCTCAGCAATAACCTCAGCAACATCAACATCAACAGCATCAATAATAACATCCAGCCACAAGCAGGTAAGGTTTTATAACAGCATCAATAATAACATCCAGCCGCAAGCAGGTAAGGTTTTATAACAGCATCAATAATAACATCCAGCCACAAGCAGGTAAGGTTTTATAACAGCATCAATAATAACATCCAGCCGCAAGCAGGTAAGGTTGTATAACAGCATCAATAATAACATCCAGCCGCAAGCAGGTAATGTTTTATAACAGCATCAATAATAACATCCAGTCACAAGCAGGTAAGGTTTTATAACAGCATCAATAATAACATCCAGCCACAAGCAGGTCAGGTTTTATAACAGCATCAATAATAACATCCAGCCGCAAGCAGGTAAGGTTGTATAACAGCATCAATAATAACATCCAGCCGCAAGCAGGTAAGGTTTTATAACAGCATCAATAATAACATCCAGTCACAAGCAGGTAAGGTTTTAAAACAGCATCAATAATAACATCCAGAAACAAGCAGGTAAGGTTTTATAACAGCATCAATAATAACATCCAGCCACAAGCAGGTAAGGTTTTATAACAGCATCAATAATAACATCCAGTCACAAGCAGGTAAGGTTTTATAACAGCATCAATAATAACATCCAGCCACAAGCAGGTAAGGTTTTATAACAGCATCAATAATAACATCCAGCCACAAGCAGGTAAGGTTTTATAACAGCATCAATAATAACATCCAGCCACAAGCAGGTAAGGTTTTATAACAGCATCAATAATAACATCCAGCCACAAGCAGGTAAGGTTTTATAACAGCATCAATAATAACATCCAGCCACAAGCAGGTAAGATTTTATAACAGCATCAATAATAACATCCAGCCACAAGCAGGTAAGGTTTTATAACAGCATCAATAATAACATCCAGCCACAAGCAGGTAAGGTTTTATAACAGCATCAATAATAACATCCAGCCACAAGCAGGTAAGGTTTTATAACAGCATCAATAATAACATCCAGCCACAAGCAGGTAAGGTTTTATAACAGCATCAATAATAACATCCAGCCAAAAGCAGGTAAGGTTTTTAACAGCATCAATAATAACATCCAGCCACAAGCAGGTAAGGTTTTATAACAGCATCAATAATAACATCCAGCCACAAGCAGGTAAGGTTTTATAACAGCATCAATAATAACATCCAGCCACAAGCAGGTAAGGTTTTATAACAGCATCAATAATAACATCCAGCCGCAAGCAGGTAAGGTTTTATAACAGCATCAATAATAACATCCAGCCACCAGCAGGTAAGGTTTTATAACAGCATCAATAATAACATCCAGCCACCAGCAGGTAAGGTTTTATAACAGCATCAATAATAACATCCAGCCGCAAGCAGGTAAGGTTTTATAACAGCATCAATAATAACATCCAGCCACAAGCAGGTAAGGTTTTATAACAGCATCAATAATAACATCCAGCCGCAAGCAGGTAAGGTTTTATAACAGCATCAATAATAACATCCAGCCACAAGCAGGTAAGGTTTTATAATAGCATCAATAATAACATCCAGCCACAAGCAGGTAAGGTTTTATAACAGCATCAATAATAACATCCAGCCACAAGCAGGTAAGGTTTTATAACAGCATCAATAATAACATCCAGCCACCAGCAGGTAAGGTTTTATAACAGCATCAATAATAACATCCAGCCACAAGCAGGTAAGGTTTTATAACAGCATCAATAATAACATCCAGCCGCAAGCAGGTAAGGTTTTATAACAGCATCAATAATAACATCCAGCCACCAGCAGGTAAGGTTTTATAACAGCATCAATAATAACATCCAGCCACAAGCAGGTAAGGTTTTATAACAGCATCAATAATAACATCCAGCCACCAGCAGGTAAGGTTTTATAACAGCATCAATAATAACATCCAGCCGCAAGCAGGTAAGGTTTTATAACAGCATCAATAATAACATCCAGCCACCAGCAGGTAAGGTTTTATAACAGCATCAATAATAACATCCAGCCACAAGCAGGTAAGGTTTTATAACAGCATCAATAATAACATCCAGCCACCAGCAGGTAAGGTTTTATAATAGCATCAATAATAACATCCAGCCACCAGCAGGTAAGGTTTTATAATAGCATCAATAATAACATCCAGCCACAAGCAGGTAAGGTTTTATAACAGCATCAATAATAACATCCAGCCACCAGCAGGTAAGGTTTTATAACAGCATCAATAATAACATCCAGCCGCAAGCAGGTAAGGTTTTATAACAGCATCAATAATAACATCCAGCCACAAGCAGGTAAGGTTTTATAACAGCATCAATAATAACATCCAGCCGCAAGCAGGTAAGGTTTTATAACAGCATCAATAATAACATCCAGCCACAAGCAGGTAAGGTTTTATAATAGCATCAATAATAACATCCAGCCACAAGCAGGTAAGGTTTTATAACAGCATCAATAATAACATCCAGCCACAAGCAGGTAAGGTTTTATAACAGCATCAATAATAACATCCAGCCACAAGCAGGTAAGGTTTTTATCACATTTTCAAGTTGCTGGAGTGCTATAGTATACTCGCGCTGACATACAAACCTAACCATTGACAACAAAGCATCTTTTTTTTTTGTGCACTATATATTACTAAGCCAGTAATTTGCATATAGTCATTTTTTTTTTTTTTAAATCTTGGTAAGTGATTTTCTTCACCGTTGATGCATTTTCCTTTGCTTCTCTCTGAGCATGGTCACTCACATCAGTTACATTTCTGCAGTCGAAGGCAGTGTGTCTTTATTTTATGTTTGTAAAGTTTAAATCCTGAGCTGCCTCTTACAATCGACTGTCAACACTGATATTTAGCACAGCGGGAATCGTGAAACACTGACTCCATCTAAGTGTATAATTCTACAGATGTTTCCCTTGCAGTATCACACATGTTATGACAACAGTGGCCTCTGGATTGTTCACTGACAATTATTTGTGCAAGTTATGTCAGTAAAGTATATACTGCTGCACACCAGAAGAGCTCGCTAGTGAAATAAATGCATCTAGACCTGTCAGAGAAGTTGTCTAGGCATAAAGAAATACATTCCACTGCTTTGGGAAATGGCCTGTGGTGAGCACTAAGAACACATCTGGTGACATTTGAACCACTTGTTGCATTAGAAAATGGAGAATTGTAAATTTTTTATTGCACTTGGTGGCCGGCAATAAATTACGCTGCCCCTTAAACCATAAAGGAAAAACATGCTTAGAAACATTCTAGATCACCAAATTACATCAACATAAATTCAGGTCACATGAATAGTTTTTCTTCAAGCTCGTCTTCCTAGGAGATGTTTGGTGTCCCACCCAGTCAATGCATTTATGAATGCCACATCAACTTATTCTGGTGACTCCAGGTGAACAGCCATTTCCAAACAGTGGCTTTAATGAATTCTGCAACACTTGCTAATTTACCTTTAACCTTTTTTATTGAAACCGCTGAGATGAGTCTCATGTGATCATGCTTTGTAGTAAATGTACATTTGTGTTGTTGGCTTCACTGTGTTGTTTTGTTTCAAGCACATCATCATCATGCATCCAGTCCTTTGAAGAGATGATTGACATTCTTCCATTGGCAGGTTCCAATCACTGGCTGGATGTAAGTCACGTGGTGTGCTTAGACAACGGCATCAACTTATACCACTCACATTCCCAGTCAGATGACTCGTCGACAGAAGGCTCACTGATACAGAGTGTCATGCAGGAGCAGACGATGGACAACATCCCTGGCAATGACGTCAATGATGAAGCTGCCTTAGCCTTTCTAATGAGCCTCCTAGAAGCTGATGCAGGTCTTGGTGGCCCAGTCGACTTCAATGATCTTCCTTGGCCATTATGATATTCAGTGACTATAAAGAGTTCATTGTTGTGATTTTTTGTTTTGTTTTGTTGATACTGTTAATATTTCACCTATTTATTATAAATATAATCTACAATATTTTGTTTATTCATGTTTTTAAAAGAAATTATCATTCCGACTTGTTGTGACAATGTTTGAATAATTAAACCAATCAATATACACAAAATGCCAAAGAAATAAATTTATGTGTACGACGTGTTAAGATATTGATGATATTTATGTCATCACAGTGTTTACTTGCCTGGCATCCTAAGTAATTAATCATTAGTCTCTTCTTATTGTTCTTTGTGCTCTTTTTCTTTCTCCTACTTGTCTTCTTTTTCTTCTATGAAGAGAGTTCTTCCATGATCTATGTTATATGTCTGATAGTCCATGCTGTGTGCATCAATCTTTTTTTTTTCCTAGAAGTGAGCTACTTTATTGATTTTTTTTTTCTAAATATGACTGAGGGATATTGCCTTCACAGGAACAGTTGTATATTGATCAAAGTGATTTTTATTAGTTGTCTTTTTGTGATATTTTGTGGTGAACAAATGTTATTACACCAAGCTGTTTGATAATGAGAATCATATAACTTATTCTGCCTCTCACTGTTGCTTTCATCATCCCGTGAAGGAGTATTATTTGTGCTGTCACAGGATGTCATGTTTTCTTTCCGCGTTGTCCTTTTCAGGCACAGGTATCACAGGTGGTGATTATGCTGTTGAACAGGTACGCTTTATGTTTACGGTGCCACATATTTGGTGCGTAACACTGGTAATATTAGTGTATGTGAACACAGAATGATACATGTAGATTGTATTGTGTCAGTTGTGCATCGTTTATAATAGAATCTAGCGCACCATTTTTGCCGGGGGGGGGGGGGGGGAGGTGGAACTTTACTAAGCAGTTTTATGTTCAGTAGTTTGCCCTAGCTTTCTTTACTTTAAAATGTGTCTTTGGGTGGTGATGATGGATATTTCGCATATCTGACAGAGATTAAAAGCACAATAGGACAAGCGAAAGCTGCATTTGAGAAAATGAAAAATATCTTATGCAATAAATCGCTCTCATTTAATGTCAGAAAGAGAGTGCTGAAATGTTGCATAGAACCTGTTGTGCTTTATGGCAACGAATCTTGGAATGTCACTGAACAAATAAAAAAGAATTTGTAAGCAAGAGAGATGTGGTTTCTGAGACGAATGTTACAAAGAACTTGGACGGCCAAAGTAACTAATAACGATTGCTTGAAAGGGGTTATATACAACAATAAGCAAGAAACAAACACTGTTCTTTGGCCACTTAATGAGAAGAAAGACATTGGAGAACATCGTGACAACTGGAAAGATCAGTGGAAAAACGATGGCATGGAGGGATATCATCAAAAGAGCTGTTTCAGTCAACCAGTGGAGACGCATGGGCACATATGCCAGTTGGCAGGACACATGATGATGATGCGTGTTGTCTGTAGGTTTCTTTTATACAATGCTTTTTCTTATAAATTATGTTTTTTTTTTTTTTTTTGCAGTGCATGTTTTGGAAGGTCTTTTAAGCTTTAAAAATTTTGGAATTTTTAAGCTGGCCCCGAAGTAAATTAAGGCTTTCCAGGTCTACAGATCTGAACATTTATTTTAAATTTATGTTTTTCTTCGCATTTTTTGTGACTGTACATTTTGGTTTCCATTTTGTTTGAGTCAGCATACATTGTGATACTGTTAATATTCCACCGATTTATGATAAATATAATCTACAGTATTTTATTTATTCATGTTTTAAAAGAAATTATTATACCGACTTCTTGTTAAAATGTTCGAATATTTAAACCAATCAATATACACAAAATGCCCCAAAAATTGGACTTCGTCAGTATTAAGACACTTGTGTATTCTGAATTAAACTCGTTTCTGCAGAAAACACATTGGATAAATTACTCCATGACTAACAGAATCATTTAAGAAATGATAAATTAATGTATGTGTGTGCGTGCTGTGTTTTTTTAACTGCGATTTTTAAACATGTTGATTATTCCACGTTGTTTTTGTTTGAACATTTGAAACTTAGTAAAGAAACTACGTGAAGTTTTTTTTTGCATCTGTTGTGGGAAATGCGAGTCTCAGTCTTTCTACTCTGGTCTTTTTTTTTTTTTCGCATCTCAGTCACAGTTTGATTTTAAAGCTCTATCTTGGCTGTATTTTACCTGCCAAAACAGCTCTCACATGGACACCAGAGGGAAAGAAAAAACAGGGGCGCCCAAAAACAACATGGAGACGAACGATAGAAAGTGACCTGAGTGCGGCATCTCTGACATGGAAAATTGCACTGCAGATTGCACAGGACAGGAAAGCATAGAAAGTCCTCACTGAAGCCTCATGTGCCACTAGGCACAACGAGAACTGATTAGCTGTATATGCGAGCTTTATTATAATCTCATGGTTTAACGGAGTTACTGAGACTTGCACCCGGGTGTTTCTCATCCAGATGCTGGCACTTTGTGTCAACTGGTGTTTATCGCTTGTTGTGCCATCCTTGTGGGGCTGATTATCACTAACTTGGTTCAAATTTTGTGCTGCATGATGAGTTATTTGTTGTCCTTGTCACTAACAAACGAACAGTCAGTCAGTCAGTCAGTCAGTCAGTCAGTCAGTCAGTCAGTCAGTCAGTCAGTCAGGTGTTGTGTCCATGTTGAAGGTTGGCTGCAATGGATCTCTACCACGCTCTATCTCTTGTCGTGAACATTAAATTGGTCACATCCAAGAGGGGTGAAGAAGTCTGGGCAACTCCTGGTAACAACAGTTAAAAGACCAAGGAAAGATGGCACTAAATTTGACGCATCCTGCGAAGACACGAGCAGAGAATCACCAAACAGGCACTATGATTAGAAATAAAGGGATGAGAAGATCACGTCCAAAAGAAGCCCTAAAATGAACGTTGCTGAGAGAGACTAAAGCTGCTGGATTGGATTCCGATTATATTGAAGCAATAGCGCAGGATGGTATAGAACAGAGTAGAATGGGGGAATAGACTGTGAGCTCTAAGTGATAGATGATGGCCCAACAGAACAACGATGATGAGACACGTATAGTGCAATAAACAAAATACTATTTTAATGTGAATACTGTAGACAATTTTAAAAAATTGGTTAACAGACGATAGAGATTAATGAATATATGATAAGCATGGAAATATACACAGAGAAAAACAATTCATGGGGGAAAAAGACTGGACCACATTGAAAGCCATGCAACAAGGACTTCAATTATACAGCTATTTATACGTTTGTCGACACAGATTGATTATGATTTTAATCATGAAAAATACCCATGTCCTAGATCTTAGTGTTAACATGAGGCATCAATCAGGTAGTAATTACAAAAGTTGTAATGTGTGCATGCATATGTGTGTTAATGTGTGCATGAGTATCTGTGTTAATGTGTACATGAGTATCTGTGTTAATGTGTGCATGTGTATCTGTGTTAATGTGTACATGAGTATCTGGTTTAATGTGTGCATGAGTATCTGGTTTAATGTGTACATGAGTATCTGTGTTAATGTGTGCATGTGTATCTGTGTTAATGTGTACATGAGTATCTGGTTTATTGTGTGCATGAGTATCTGGTTTAATGTGTACATGAGTATCTGGTTTAATGTGTGCATGAGTATCTGTGTTAATGTGTGCATGAGTATCTGTGTTAATGTGTGCATGAGTATCAGTGTAAATGTGTACATGAGTATCTGTGTTAATGTGTACATGAGTATCTGTGTAATGTGTGCATGAGTATCTGTGTTAATGTGTACATGAGTATCTGTGTTAATGTGTACATGAGTATCTGGTTTAATGTGTGCATGAGTATCTGTGTTAATGTGTACATGAGTATCTGTGTTAATGTGTGCATGAGTATCTGTGTTAATGTGTACATGAGTATCTGTGTTAATGTGTACATGAGTATCTGTGTTATTGTGTGCATGAGTATCTGTGTTATTGTGTACATGAGTATCTGTGTTAATGAGTACATGAGTATCTGTGTTAATGTGTACATGAGTATCTGTGTTAATGTGTACATGAGTATCTGTGTTAATGTGTGCATGAGTATCTGTGTAAATGTGTACATGAGTATCTGTGTTAATGTGTACATGAGTATCTGTGTAATGTGTGCATGACTATCTGTGTTAATGTGTACATGAGTATCTGTGTTAATGTGTACATGAGTATCTGGTTTAATGTGTGCATGAGTATCTGTGTTAATGTGTACATGAGTATCTGTGTTAATGTGTACATGAGTATCTGTGTAATGTGTGCATGAGTATCTGTATTAATGTGTACATGAGTATCTGTGTTAATGTGTACATGAGTATAATGTGTACATGAATGTGTTACATGAGTATCTGTGTTAATGTGTGCATGAGTATCTGTGTTAATGTGTACATGAGTATCTGTGTAATGTGTAATGTGTATCTGTGTAATGAGTATCTGTGTTAATAATGTGTATCTGAGTGTATCTGTGTTAATGTGTGCATGAGTATCTGTGTTAATGTGTGCATGAGAGTATCTGTGTTAATGTGTACATGAGTATCATGAGTGTACATGAGTGTGTGTTAATGTGTACATGAGTATCTGTGTTAATGTGTACATGAGTATCTGTGTAATGTGTGCATGAGTATCTGTGTTAATGTGTACATGTGTATCTGTGTTAATGTGTACATAAGTATCTGTGTAATGTGTACATGAGTATGTGTGTTAATGTGTGCATGAGTATCTGTTTAATGTGTGCATGAGTATCTGTGTTAATGTGTACATGAGTATCTGTGTTAATGTGTACATGAGTATCTGTGTTAATGTGTGCATGAGTATCTGTGTAATGTGTGCATGAGTATCTGTGTTAATGTGTACATGAGTATCTGTGTTAATGTGTACATGAGTATCTGTGTTAATGTGTATCTGAGTATCTGTGTTAATGTGTACATGAGTATCTGTGTTAATGTGTGCATGAGTATCTGTGTTA